ATCATGTCCTTGGTACGTGTGTGTATGCCAGCAATGGAATGAGAGAACAGCACACTCATCATCCAAAGTAAAATCTGCTCCAGGCTAAAGCATAGAGGGCTATTCTTGAGGCTTCCCCTCTCCAAAGCAAAAAGGAGCATTCCTTATTTTCCCCTGTTTATTTAAAAAGCCCACCGCACATTCCTGGGCACTGGTCTATCCTGGGCCAACCATGGGATGACAGCTTCTACACTATAAATCCCAGGAACAAATTGGTCTCACTTGGGAATGGGCCTAACAATTGCTACCTTCTGATGGTCACTTAGTGGTCTGCAAAGTGCACCACAAATCTCACGAGACTTGTTTTCACATCATTAAAGCCACCCTCAGAATTGGCCTCCATGCTGACCATTTCAGCGTCAAAGCCAAAGGGCTGTCCAGAGAGCTGCCGCAGGAGCACAAGAGATGCGCAGCCACAGTGAGCAGGTCCATCCGAGCCATACCTGCTCAGAAAACGTGACCTCCCAGACTCCAGCACTTCTCCCCAGCCACACCTTGCCTGCTTAAATCTTTGCTCCCACAGGGTACAAAAACACTGTTGTGGCAACCATCAGAGTCACCCTGGTCGACTCATCAAGAAGGGGGGCACCACCATTACGCCTCAGGGCTGCAGCAAAGCCATTTTAAAGCTCCTAGAGAAAGAAGATTAGAGAAACAGAAGCCGCAGCACAAGCAAGTTTGCATGCAGGCAGCACCAGGGAAGAAGTCTGTTGTTGCCTATGATGTCTGGTCACCATAAGGCAGTGCAACGCAGTCACTTTTTAACTTTACCAGAAAGGAGTCCCGCAACACCATCTAAGCCTTTAAACATGGAGCACAGCGGTGTTTGAGAGCAGAGTGTTCATTTCTCCACCATGAACAAGAGCAAAGAAGTTTTCTGTGTGGGATAGGGCAATTGGACATGGCATTTCAGGAATCACATGAAGAATTTCTGAGTTAGAAATCACGCACTTAAGTATAGCTTTCCCGATTGTATTTTCTACTCCAGGCAGACAGAGAAGAAAACAACCAACCCTTTATCTCTGCAGCAGTAAACTTTCAGTCTCCCATACACGTGTGAAAGAATTGCCTGGGAAACAAGCACACAACAGTGTTGTGGTCAGAGTTTAAAACCAAAATCCAATTCAGCCAGAAAGCTGCAGGTTGCTTTTGCCCTTTTCACGAAGGAGCTAAATTCAGTAGCACACAGTAGACAGAGCTGCCCAGCAAAGCCTCCCCCTTATTTGTTATTTTTAGCAATTTAGTCTGACAACGCCTGACAACTAAACACGCTGAATATAGCAGGAGAGAAGGGGACTATCAGATATTATCAGAGAAAACATACAGCGACAATCACTTTCTCCACCCCTAATGAAGAATCAATTTTCCATGTCTTTGTAACATCACAGAGTTTGCTCTTTTTAAAATGCCACATTTAAAAACAGAATCCATCCAACCCTACAATGGAAACGGATAACATTTCCTGAAACAAAGCATTGTTCCACCCCTCACATATCATGTTTCCTTGAAAACAAGGGAAGAAAAACATTACTTGGTTTTTCTCCTAATACTGCACAAACATTGCTGAGCTAAAAAGAGTCTGTGCTCATCCCTTTAGAATGCTTTCAAAATAGATTTAACACATACCCCTCGTACTGTGAAACACAACAAGAATTTGATAGTATCAGGACTGGAAAAATCCAATCGCTACTACTAAGTGGGACGCTTCCCATGCCAGTACATGAGCAAGCCTATGCCATCAGTCTCTGCAAGATTCAAGCAGGTTTTTGTAAGCCTCACTGGCATAGCCTTTAAGCAGGCATGTGTATTTTGCCAGCAAGCCTGGACAGTCTATTTAGATTCCAAAGGATTACATACAAGTTGTAAAGTTAGTAATGCTACATATGTATGTATATACATTCAGATTCCTACCTTAGCTTTAACAAGAAGAGTAAAGCTAGCTTGCTTTTTCTGCAGAGTAACTGACAGGCTATGCATTTGCCCCCTTGCTTACATCATACCCCTTTCGTGCTTTCAGAGCACAGTTCCTCTCACTAAGTACATCCAATGCATATTCCAGGCAAGCCTTATTTTCACAGCCCTGTACAAAGACAGGTCTGGTTCTCCTTGCTGCTTTGTCATGTGATGAGCAGCAGGGAGAATCAAACCAGCAGTATCACATCAATTTTGTGATGATATCTTGAAAAAGTCAATGCACTGCTTCAACAGCAGAGGAACCTAAGAGAGGGGATTGAGGGGAAGGGAATAACTGCAAGCATGCATGGCAGTGGAGACTATCAGAGGAGGGAAGAAAAGCAGCTTTCAAACTAGACTCAAAACACCTCACTGTTTTCAAAGTTCATTCTGACAGCTGCAAATGTCAGGAAACCCAGTTCACATCTCTGAAGCAGGTTAAAGCCCACATTTTCACTAATAGTGAGCACTCAGGAGCTCTCCTTGCTACACAGCTGGATGGATTTACAGAAGAGCTCAGCAGTGACCCCAGCCCTCTGTGCTGTGCTCCTCTGCAAACAGCACCAAGTTAGCGGTGACAGCATTTCTCAAATTCAGGCTTGCATCAAAAATACACATTTCATAATGTCTTGGCAATAGCATCATAATAGCAAGACATAACTGTCTCAAGCTCATGCTACATGAGGTTAAGATCAGCCACACCATCTGGATTCTGGAGGATTACTCTGACCAGCTTGATTCAACTATGCAAAGTAGGAAATGTGAGTAAGTAATAAGGTAGTTAACAATGTAAAATACAAACCTAAGCTTTAAAATCCTTCCAGTTTTAATAACAGATGGAGGGAAGTTTTAACCTATCTTGGTTTGGTATTTATTTTACAATGATGCAGTAGAAGCACAAGGTCACAAAGTTTCACATTCTTTCCTGCTTCTGTCACAACTTGTTTTCAGGACAGCAAAATCCCCTACTTCTGCGATAAGTGCTCTCTGACTTGGACCCAGGTATTTCCCCTGAAATCTCAGTTTCTAGCAGTTTTCTGTCTAAGAGCTTGTCCTCTTCCATGGGGAATCCCAAGCCCAAGGAAAATCCTTTTCACAAAACTGACAGCAGAGTAGTTAAAAGATGGATTTGAATGTTCGCTTAAAACAAACTGTTGAAAGTTTTGGCAATCTGGGCCCTACTATCCACAGTTAAAAAGAAAAACCAACCCATGTGGCAACCACCTTTCCACTCCCACCACCTTTTGATACAGATACTGTTGCTGGGATCTTCAATTCAGTGGCCATAACCAGAGACTCAAGCACTGGGAGCTACGAAGCAGAAAAACACATTTCTGAAGCAGCCAGCTCTGAGGTTTTGTGTAAGAATAGCAAAAGTTATAATTTGGGGGAAATTCCATCCATTCTGCTGAACTCAGCAATCGGAAAGTTCAGGGGGCAAGATCATTCCCCACCAGGAACAGGAAGAAATGGAGATGCACAGCTGAAGGACACAGTAGCCAAAAAAGCTGACCACAGCTCAATGGACCTGGCAGTAAGGAACACAATGGGCAGTTCATAAACAGAGGCTGTCAATCACACTCCAATCACTTCCAAATCCAGACATGCTGCTATGAAGTTCTTCAACCCCAGTTGCAGGGCTGTCTTTGCACAAAGCTACTGGCAGCTGGAATGGCTCCAGAGTAGCCAGGATACAATCACTTTTATCACAAAACCAAAAAAATGACTGTGCCTTGTCTGAATTAACACCACCTTAAATATATAGGCTACCCATGGAGTACTTGTTTTCCTTGTGCAGAAAAAGTTCTCATGGTCAGAAACACAAAACCCCTTAGTATCTGGCACAGAAAACACTCCAGGCAGCGCAACATACGGTGATGTGCTTGCCCTACAGCTCCCCAGGCAAGCTGAGTCTTAAGAAGGAATTAAAAAAAAATACAAACTCTACTTCTGCTTTAGTGTAAGTAGGAGAGACAACAGAGACAGAACTGCACAGGTCTGAGTAGGTATGAGCACCAACTTCCTATTCCTGCTTGCCCCTACTTAGCTGGTCTCCACACTCACTGTCTCCAAAACACTAACAGATTAGATAAGCTGCTTAACACAACTGTCTTTGCTTCCTCTGTCATTCCCCAAAAAACAAGGAACGGGGTTTTGTATTAATTATATTTTAAGGGCATTAAAAAAAAAAATATACTAATGGCCTTGGAAAAGTACATTTTGAACATCTTCTCCAAAGAACTGTAAGTACACGTTGTACACGTAGTCACTAGAAGATAGTCAAGATTTACTAGATAACTTGTTTGAACACTGGAACATGCACAGGCACTAGTTTATATTTCCTAGATCATCTTCTCTGCCTTGAATACTCCAACCAGATAAACATAAGAACACTGAACTGCTCTGACCACATCATCAAAACAAAGTCCCATCTCCCCCTAGATCCAGTCTTCAACAGCAGCCACAAGTAGATGCCTGGGGCAGAGTGTAAGGACAGGGCAGGCATATATGGTACTTCCTCCTCATACTTTCCCAGCTTCCAGACATTTTTAGCTCAGGGACTTCCTGAGCAGGATGCCATTTCTACATATTTGGTAATTCTCAATGGATTTCTCTTCCATGAATCTGTGCAATTGTCCTGAGCCAGTGTAAACTTTTAACATCCACGGAGCACTGGCAAAGATTCACATCACCTATCTGCTGCAAATTACCACACAAAGATCCTTTTGCTAGTTTTAAACCTTGCTCCTACTAATCTCATTTGCATCCCTCAACCCCAGTTTTCATATCAGGACACAGAGTGAACAATCAAACCCTACTGGGGTTGTAGGTCTTGCAAAGAAACCAAGTGACATGAATTACTTGTAGGTTACTTGTAACAGGCCCTATGTTTCACCTAGTTACAATCCTTCAGAACGAAAAGTACTGGATAAAAACACCGGATGTAGCAAATAGCATCTTGTTGCCCTTCAGTGTTGTACTTTCATCATTACTTGCCAAAAACTTACCTCTAATTCCTTAATTTTCTCTTCGGCTATTCTCTGTTTTTCTAAGAGCTGATTATGAATCACTCCTTTAGACTGAAGAATAAACCTACAAGTGGAAAAAGAAGAGACAGACAACTGTTGGATATTTTTTATATCTGTTGTACACCTACCTACATGCCGAGTTAAACTACAGTGACCTCCACAGTCATTCATCCTCAACCCATGCGTTCTGGACAGCAGCAGAAGAAATTGCTATGATAGTTCACACAAACCATTGGGCTGGCCTCAAAGGTTTCCTCACTAATCTCACCCATGATTTGGGAGGAAAGAAAATGGATGCACACAGATCTCCCTCTATCATTCAGTGTTCTTCAATGATTTGAAAGCAGTTCTTACACACAGCTAGCAAGGGGAGTCTGTCATCACACTCTCTTCAAAGGGAACTAAATCAGTTGATGGCATATAGTTAAGGAAGCCTCTTTCAATGGGTAAAAGCCATTCATTACCATTTTAGTGCTCACAAGCTAAACAAACCTGCACAATAAAAACAAAGCTCCCTACAGAAAAAGACTGAGAGTGTTGGGGTTGTTCAGCCTGGAGAAGAGAAGGCTCCAGGGAGACATTACTGCAGCCTTTAAATATATAAAAGGGGTTTATAAGAAAGACAGAGAGAGACTTTTCTCCAGGGCCTCCAGTGACAGGACAGCGGGCAATGGTTTTAAACTGAAAGACTCAGGGGTTAGATTGGACATACGGAAGAAATGTTTTACAATGAGGGTGGTGAGACACTGGAACAAGTTGCCCAGAAGAGTTGTGGATGCTCCACCCCTGGATTTGGACAGAGTTCTGAGCAACCTGATCTAGTTGAAGATGCCCCTGCTCATTGCAGGGGGGTTGCACTGGTTGATGTGTGAAAGCCCCTTCCAACCCAAACCATTCTGTGATTTGATGATACACAGCCAGGTGCTTCCACCAGAAACACAAAGCCATGGTACAACTGCCTTTACTTGAGCTTTCACAGCTCCCACTGCTCAGGGCTTGGCTTTAACTGACCTCAGAATTCCCATGCTTTTTACATTCAGAGGGTTTTTCTGTGAGGTGGGAAGTCGTCGTTTTTAACTGAAGTTGCAGCCACTGGTTTCCAATTGCCAAAGGGATTTGAAAGATGCATCCATAACATTTCAGTCACAGTAATCCTGCTCGCCAGCATCCAAAAAGCTGCCTCACTTGCTCAAAAGAGCCCCAGCATCCAAAGCAGCTCCCCAGCACGTGGCACTAGCATCCCACAAAGAGATAAAGGACAACTAAGTTCAAATGAATTTCAGGAACCCTCCATGGTTGTTTTTCATCTCCTTCCAGACATAAAGAATGTACAAGCTGCAGTTTCACCCCTTCCCTACTTAGAAAGTCCCCCAGGGGATTTAGAAGGAGCCTCCACAGGTCATACCAACGAGGTCAAGGTCTCCCTCCAGCACCAACTAGGTGCCAGGTGACAAGAGCTCATGCCTGAACGGTTAAAAAGAGCGCCTTTAGACAGAGCAAGATCAGAATGCATTCCCCATCTGCTACAGAAAAACCTGGGATCAATTTAATAGCTACCTCCTATTAAAAAAAAGACATTATTAACATGTTTGCTCAGGACCTGGTAAACACAAATGCGAATCTGCCGCTTGGCTTGAAATCCAGCATACTCTGGGTACTCCAGCATACTCCAGCATTGCAACAGCCAAAAGGAAAACTACCTGCCACAAGCATTCCTGGAATGCATAGGAGCAGAACTGCAGTTAATTATAACAGGTTTCCAATTAAAACTCTCTTCAGTGCTGCTATTAACTGCATTTACCAATCGCTTCCTCCTCCTTCTCCCACTTCTCTCCCTTGTTCCACTTCACCTCCTCTTTTCTACAGTAACTTCTGCTATATCTTTTACATTGTAATTTTCTCAAATCTCTCCTTGTTTCTTCCTAGTCTCAGCTCATGCTTATTACTGGTCTCATCTTTGTTCTATATCTGCTCCTGTTCTTCACAACACCGCTCACTCATACTCTCCTTGTCCCCTCATTCCCTGCCTTTCCATTAGGTGCCCCCACAATCCACTTTCACACAGGGGTAATGTTTTCAGGGCCCAGCACACACCAGCCTGCTGAAATAAAATGTGGGTTTTGCTCAGTCTTGTGAAAATCAAGTCCGTGACCATCCTTCTAGGAAAGAGAAACTATTACATTGCTATTAGATGCAGAGCCTAGATCCAGATAGAGATACAGAGATGAGCTATTTTTCAGGACCACCAGCAACCATGCCATTCTGACGCTCTTACCCTGAGCCTGCAATACCAGAAGAAAGGAACATTAGTCTTCACACACACACACACACACACACACACACCGCCCCCCCCGGTATTTTGGGGTGAAGACTAAAATTTTGCCTTCTGCAGTAGCTGCCATTAGTGAAAAAAAAACAAAGCTGCAAGATGCTCTCAGTAAACAAAGCCCTCAGTCCTTTCCCACATCACAGCTTCCCCAAGCCTGTGTTATGAACATTTCCTGAATTATTTCCTTTTTTTGTGCGGGCAGCAAAGAACAGAATACTTTCTTATTTGCTTTCCCAAATTGTATAGCAAGATCAATCATTTTGGTTTCACTGATGCCCCTGGTCTAGGAAACAAAGTTAAACACCAACACAGCTTGATCAATTTTCTCCATGCTGCAGCTGGGAATGCCCCTGCTGGCCTACAGGCACTGAGCGATCCCGGCTGGCTGAGAACAGCTACGGGCACTAAAACCTTTGAACAAACAAGTGGCTGACTTCACTTCTATTCTGCAAATGTCAACAAGCAGTCATCGGGGAAAATATCCTCCCTCCCACCCTCCTGCAATGATCTGGCAGAGACACGACAACAAATTAAAATTGTATGGCCAAAGTTAGCCCTGACAAGACTTATGCAGGCAGCTGGGCACAAATAAAACCACCCCAGTTTTATTTGCCATAAAATAGTGGGCTGGAATCCATGTCCATTCACATGCTGGCTCAGAAGATCAAATGCCCCTGACTTGGCCAGCAGCATCCTTCAGAAGGTCTTTACCAGTACCAGTTTCAAGCCATCCATTTTAATTTACTGCCACAAGACCATCAAGCCCTCAGTCTAAAGCACACAGGTGCTGCCATGTAAGCTGTCACAGGACAGTTTTTTGAAAGTTGAAGCTCTAAATCCACATGCACAGTTAACTCTTTAAATCTATGGCTTCACTTTCCAACATAAAAGGGACTTAAAAAAAAATTATCAGTGTTTTAGCTTCTAGCTTGGGACACACACATTATGGAGATCTTGGCCAAAGTTTTTACCTAAGGAAATAACGTGGTTTATTGGGAACACTTGGAAAAATCAGAAGCTTGTTCTGCTCATTAGGTTAAGAGGTGCTGCAGGGCACTTGTAATAAACTGTAGTTTAAATTTAATCTGGATTTCATTCTTACATGAACAAGAACATTACATTCTTGGTAAAACACCAAACTGGAGAAATAAGGCAGTGTCATTCTGCTGCCTGGTTTTAGTTAAATGTGGTTATTTTCTTTATGAATTTTTAAGCTCATGAAGGAGCCACAGGAGGTTCTGAGGACTTAGTTCTTCCCTGAGTGAGTTTGTGAACAAGCCTTTCAAACTCATGAAATTCATTCACTGCCTGGAGGTACACCACCAGCTGAGAACTGGCCTCACATTACAGTCACCGCATCACCGAGCCAAAGAACCACTTTCTGCTCTGTGATGCTGAGCTTGGCAGATGACATGACTAACACCAACCCCTTGGCACAGATCAGCACCAAAGAGCTACCTCCACAGACTGCTCTGCTGGAGGCTCCAAGCTCCGAGATTTTGTACATTGAACTGGGATGGCTTTTAAGTATTGACAGTCCACACAAGACAAGCAGCAAACGAAATCTTCTTCCAGGTGAGTGAGTTCATTCGTGCCCACCTTCTGTCAGTGAAGTGTCACAGCACACACTAACAGATCTGTCAAACACAACACCTACACTATCAAACATGAAACAATGATTCAGAAAAATGTTCAGCACCACAGTGGCAATTACAAAGCTTAGTAACAATCACCTCTTCACCCAGGAACTTTTTCACTGTTTTTAAATAATACCAGAAATATCTGGGTCAGAATGGACAAGTTCACTACAGCTCAGTTGGCCACCCATTTCAAAGGGAATAGCTAATAAAAACAGAGCAGGATTTGCCCTATTCCAGATACTTAGCAATTTTTCCAATGTCCATAGAAAAAGGTAAAAACTCAAAACAAAGCAAAGCAAATTAGAAAAGAAAGCTACAGAGGAGTGGGGTCCTCAAGGACAGCAACGCTCAGCCAAATCTGGGCTTCCAACAAGAGCAGCTCTATAACAGAGTGAAGTGTTTGCGAATCAGCTGTACCTACGTGCTCCGGTCTCCTGGTGACTGCTGGTTCTCGAGTGCAACATGAGGAACAAAAATAGAGCACAACGGAACTGAAAAAGAAACCTGGCTCTAATTATTCCCGCTTGTTTCTATTTTCCTCCCTCTACTATCTCCACATCAGGATTTTTGTTTCCCTAAGGCAGATAGTGTGGTTTATGTACTATCTCTGAGACTCATTGCTTGCTTCCTTCTGAAGAGATCTCTTACCCCTTCCCAATTATACATTTCTAGATATGGTGCCCATTTGTTCAGTGTTTATACAGCACTCCCTTATGCCCTGGTCAAAATGTTCTTCAGGCTCTACTGAGGCTGGTCAGCAATGCTGTCACCTTCATCATCTGTCTGCTCCTTTGTGTCACACATACACACCCACAAAGTGACGTTCATACAGTGTAAGTAATTCCATAACTCAGTCTGTTTGCACCAAAACGTACTGTTTACTTGACTTTAAGACATAATATTAGATACTGAAAGATTCGTCTCTTAATGAATGAGGTTATGGAGATGTTTGTTCAGCACACGCCACTCTTCATTATAACATACAAGTCATTAAAGTTATTAAAGGTGGAGTACCAGTGATGCTCACAGTTAAGGTTTTCCATTAAGAATCCCTATTTTCAATTACATGCAACTGCAACCAACTTCAGCCTTTAC